CCCTCGTGAACTCATTGGCGGATCCAGCAACTTGGCAATATTGTCTTTTCTCCATTTACACCTATTGTAATGTATCGATTCTAGGAGGGGCCAGGTGCTCCGACAAGAATCGATTATTTAGCATAGGTTTAAACGGAGAAAATACGGTGTTGCCAAATTTCTGGATCCGCCCACATGCGTGAACTCGATTCATTTCCGTAAAAGAACCATGCAAAATGACTCTAAATGTGGAATTGATGATTTTTGGCAGCATGTTCTTATGCAAAAATCGCATGCGAGTTCTTTACCCAAAGCAGCTATTTTGCACCTTAATTTTTTTTTATTATTACTTTAATGCAGTCCGCCCAGAATATGCAATGCAATCATTTTCATAGGTCTTACTTCAAGAACAAATCGGAAATCCAAGTCCTGAATTGCCCACTGAAGTGTTGTTATGACTCCTAGACATGTTGATAAATTTACGTGTGGGGGTCAAGACCAAATATCCGGAAATATTGTAATCATGTGATGAGAGAGAGGATGGCGGGAAGTGGGATGGGACAGAAAAACTAATGGCATCGAAATGATGATTATTTTACGATGCATCATTTCCGAGCGTATAAGATGCACTTCGGAACATAGATTCATTGGGCACATGTGCCGACAAGGCACTCTCAAGTGACTGCGGTTACTAATGACATCGCCATGAAAAGTGCATCCAACGATTCTCGACCCCGTTCTTATGAGGTTTGAAGACAGATGATTGTTCACTTTTAAGGTCAGATTTTTGTTATTACACGCTCATGGTTAGACAAAGCCCTCGAAAAAGTGTCACACTAATTGTCTTGATCATTATTCTGGCTATAAATTTATTTTCATCCCGGAGTTCCATGATGCATCTTCCTCATACCTGAGGTATAAATGTGGTTTTAAAAAAACTCGTAAAAGCTCATTGAAGACACACACTCCACACTGCACGCTGAAAGTTACGTGGCGTGTTTGAGTGCTAGATGAAAACTTTTCACATGACACTCACGATGAAACTTGATGGAAAAGTGACCTAAGACGTTGAATTCTCCGTGTGGACCAGCTATTTGATTCGGGGCAAAAAAATTTTAACTGCATTAACCGAAAGTCGGAAGAAAGTTACTTCGTGACTGATGAAGCATTGCATTTTTCTGTTTCTGTGACTGAAATAAAGCTCATTTGAATTTAAATAAAATTCTTTCATTCAAGCAATTTTTGTCTCGAAAAAATGTCTTTAAATGAAAGGGAATAGGAAATTTTGCGCGCCATTTTTTTATTGATTCATCTGAGAGTGCTTAAAAAGCTGACTTCGTAGTATTTTTTATAATTTTTTTGGGTTTGGAAAACAGTATAAACATGGATTGAAAAGTGATGATTTGCACCTAGTGATGTTATCAGGTAGCATGTCTCGTTTAAAGACATATGTACTCATCATATTTTGGGAGATTTGAAAACTTTGTCATATTCCCTCGAATAATTGTTCAATTTAGAAACCAAGGGTATCTTATTCTTAGTGCGCTCAGTATCGTTTCCCCTCAAACACGAAATTCATTAACGTTCAGACACCACCAAATTCTCCAATTTATTTTATTGAAAATAATTTTCTTAAACAATTTTCTATTACCTCTATGACGACGCACTTCAAAGGTTTTAGTATACACTGGAAAAAAATATATTGGATCTAGAGTCCAGACTTTTGAAAACATTGACAAGAAAAAATACTCTTGATTCAATCAGACTTAAGCTTGAATCAAAAGGAAATTCGCTCAACTTAAGAGGCTTGGTTTTTTATTTAAGCTTAAATCTGATTGAATCAAGAGTATTTTTTCTTGTCGATGTTTTTAAGAGTCTGGACTATAGATCCAATATGTTTTTTGCCAGTGTAGTGAAAGCTTTAGTATACCTCAGCATTGTGTCATGTGACAATAGAGTGGACACGAAACTGAATCCGTTGTCAAAAGGCACTTAAACTGGTTGGATTCTTTAACATACCTACAGTGTTATTTCTCCAGAAAGGGATTCCGCAGTTGTTTCGACACTGTTCTTCAAGTATCGATACCGAAGTGCAGTCCGGCACGCGAACCAACCTTGAGCTACGTCTCGCGTCTTCGCTCTTGCACTCAGCTTTAGCGTTCTTTGACACGTTCGCACGATGTCGCCAAATCACCTTCCAGACATTACCACACTGGAAAAAAAACTCCGGCCGTGGGAGCCGTAATTGAATCAGTGAGAACGAAAACAAACCAACTCGGTAACCGGAAAATGCTCCATTTTCATTGAAGACAGTCAATTTTTATAAAGATCGTTGAAGTTAGCGCATTTGTTCCATCTTGCATCTATAAAGTATCCTTAAGTACTTGTCTTTCGGCACTAAAAATATTTTTCTTAGACTAACATCTTCACCTTCTGTGCAGTTTTGTGCCTGTCTTGATTGTTTTCATTTTTTCGAGTTGGTGTGTTTTCGTTCTCACTGATTCAATTACGGGCTATAGAAATACCGCCCGTTCCGGGCTCAAAGGCTGTAAAATTCCGGCTGCTGGAGGCGTAGCTTCGATTGCTCCGGGCTCAGAGGCCGGCTCCAACAGCCGGAACTTTCGGCCTTTAAGCCCGGAACGGATGTTATGTCTATATAGCCCGTAATTACGGCTCTCACGGTCGGAGTTTTTTTCAGTGCACAAAACCGTCAACATTTTGCCGAAGTATTCCTAACCTTTTTGACGGATTTCACCAGAATCATCCAAAACACTCTCACTCTCCTTAATTTTCTCATAAGATTTATTTTTATATGGAAAGACTTTGTGAGCCGAATTATGCCTCAAAATTTTCCGTGAATTTTCCTTCCTAGAGTACACTTACTATGGAATTTCTAGTGATCCACATTTTTTCACCAAAAATCTAAGTAATAAAAATTAACTTCAAAATTTCCAGTTTTCTTCATTTCGTGCGGTTTCTATGATTTTTTGGGGATTAGCGACCGATTTGGTGTCCACTTATCGTTAGCTAACCATTTTTTCACGAATAATTTCCCCGAATTCTTAGCTCATCATCGAGATTTCATCCTTAAAGTAGGCGACCGCGCACAAATATACAAGATACTTGTTATTCTGATTCAGTTACAGTGGATTTTGAAAATTATTCTGTGGCAAATTCACTTGTAGCCTCATTCATACCGAACCTCAGAAAACTTCTTGTCTTTCCATTATATCCTTCGATCAATCATTTGGGAGAGTAGTTGGTGATTTCAGAGATTTGGGTAAAGAGGCGGCCAAAAGCGGAGGAAATTTGAAGCAGTTTCTGTCCTAGAGTATCTTCGTCCGAAATACTATCTGAAGCTCATTTGGCAATTATGGCGCCTCAGATATCCACGAGCGCCTTCAGTCTGGACTGTTAAGGTGCAAGTTTAAATAAACCGAAGAGCTTGCCCCGTTTCATAACCTCAGGCGACACTCATGAGGACCTTGACATCACTTCCCAATATCATCTTTTCATGAGCAAACGCAAACTCCGAGAGCAGACGCCGAAAATCAGTGTCATTAAACTGCGGAGCTGTGAACTTCTGCGAATCATTGAGGTCAAAGACTTTGTGATTTGTTGGGCCAGGCTTTAAGTGCTTCCCAACTATCTCGCAATGCCAGGATGGGTGTTCACAGTTAAGCATGTGGCATGTAGTCTTAATGGACCAAATTTAGCAAAAGAAACCGAGTTACATTTTTACAAAAAAGGGTTGCAAGTTTTAATGAAGCTAACATATACATTATAATTTCTTTTGAACTTGACTTCCAAATTTATACTATCCTCCCAAAAAATTAAAATTTACCGAAAGTCTCTAGTATTCCAAATTTGGACTTAACATTTATTTTTTGCATCTAGTCTTATATGATTAGAAACCTGTATGCACTCTACTTAATATCACTTGGTCACTTTCTGTTGTATCCAATTAAAGTTTATGATACATTCTGGGAATAGGGACATCACGAAATTTTGAAAATCGAGTTTTCAGTAAATCACAAAGTAACCAGTGATGTCGTTTCAGCAATCACTTTTCACAGATTCTCAAATGGCGGGATAATGGCGTTGATAATGTTGAATTGAAAAGAGGAAAAGGAGCTTAAGGTCACTTTCGTTGCCATGTAAAATAAGCAGAATTATAATTCTATCCAAATTTTGCTTTCATCGAAAAATGCGCACAATATTTCTAAAATTGAGGTCAATAATGACAACTTTTAAGGCATGAGAGCAGTCTGCCTTTATAGGCAAGAAAAACACGTTTCAATTAAAAAATAAACTATCTTTGTTACAAAGGAAAAATTTTCGAGTCGAGGACTTCTCTGTATTAGATAAACTTTCTTTAAAACGAAATACATCATTTGGATTGAAAGAGAGAAATCTTCTCCTTCTACGAACCACTAGGGCATACTGGGCATGACTTTGTTTGTCAGGCCATGTACCACCGAGCACATTAAATTATAAAAAGAAAAACAAATTTAAATCGTAAATATCATAAAAACATTAAATTGGATTCGCCAAAATGGAGGACAAATCCTTTGACTCAAAACATTTTTCTCCGAGTAATTTGCTTTCAATCACAATCAAAAATAGTTTGTTTTTATGAATGTAAAACGCGCATGTTTTTAAACATTTTTTTGTTAATGTATGCTTGATTTGGATCGCACTATGCAAAAAGGAACCAAGAGTATTCCAGTGCCGCTGAGATTGAAAAACTTATTTTACCTTGCAAATATATACTGATCACCTAAACAAGTGTTATGCTAACTCCCAATACATTGTACATTCATAGACAAAAATTACCTTCGTAAATTTACTTTTTTGCATGATTTCAGTAATTTTATTGCGAAGAATGTGAGTTACGCAATCCTAGCGACATTGAACTGTTGTTGGTTCCATTTTGCAAAATACAATCCATTTATCAATCATTTTTCATCGTGATCCTCTGGAAAATCTCTGACGCCATTCGAATTTTCTTATGCTTACAGGGTATATCGTCCATGCTGTATAACTCGTCGATGTTCATGAACGTTGGACTGAGGACTCTCGTCACGTATCTAGACACACAGCCTTTCCGACAGTTGTCCGTTCACGAGTACCTATGGGGTTACGATGAGCCCCTCGTCCAGCTGGCCAGCAACATCTTGCCCAGTTGGATCAACTTCGCCAAATTTGGGCTCTTGGATAGGGTAAGTTAGAAACAGCACCGCTCCTATTATTTCAACTACCCTGGAGACTTAAACGCAGGACAGAATGAGTCAGTCACTGGAAAAAAAACACATTGGATCTAGAGTCCAGACTTTTGAAAACATTGACAAGAAAAAATACTCTTGATTCGATCAGAGTTTTGCTTAGATCAAAAGGAAATTCGCTCAAATTAAGAGGCTTGGTTCTTTATTTAAGCAAGAAAGATTTTTTTTTTTTTTTTAGATTTTTTTTTTCTCTTTTTTTGTTTTTTTTGGGTTCTCGATTGAATCAAGAGTATTTTTTCTTGTCGATGTTTTTAAGAGTCTTAACTCTGGATCCAATTTATTTTTTTTATTTCTCAGTGGTTGCGCTGGTCTTAGAATCGTGTTTTGATGCTTGATTCTAGTTGATCGCCTAAAAATAATAAGATCTGTCCAAAAAGCAACTTTTTGCGTTCAATATTACTCAAGATATCGCCCTTTGAAAAATTCGGTTTATGCGGTGCATGACGTTTGCGCACACTTTTTTTACCGATAACGTTTGCGCACACTTTTCACGAATATCATTTGCGCACACTTTTTACCGATAACGTTTGCGCACACTACACTATTTGGCAACGCTGCAATGATGCTACGCGTGTCACCCGAAAACCGGAGTTTGTTTTGATCCGGGCGGTCATAGTATCGCTTCATGATAAGACATTTTCTTGCAATGCATTGTCTGGCAATTAGTGACCCAGTCATCGGTCGTTCGCCGTGGTCAGAACATCGCATTTTAAAGTATTTTAGCCTGAATTTTGTATTATGTTTTAACTTATAATGACGTGTTTTAAAGTTTTTAACGCTCAGAATATAGTGTCTTTGAAAATTAAATCTGAGCGAAATGATGAGGTGTTCACTAAACGGAATGATCAACAAAAAAAGACGAGCCTGATGAATCCATTTCTGAAAATGGTGCTGATGAAACTTGCTCTTCAAATGCAACCTGCCCTAAAAACAGCCCTAAAACCCGTCCTTGCACTGAAGATGATTCCGGTGAAGACAGTGACAGCATTTTCAGCTGAAGTAACAGCGAAAAATCTGTGAGTGACCATATACCTTATTTTCTTACCTTTCTTATTCATTTTCTAATATCCGAAAACGTTTTTTTCCCTACCCCTTACCCTCTCTTAAAAATTTACTTCTGAATACTCATCCTGTGAAACTTTTTGAATTTATGCGCTCCACTAATCTCAAAATTTAACCTTTCCCCTCAACCCTTTTGTATTTTTACTGATATTTCCATGTAAATTTATTATTGTTACTGCCCTCTTTAGAGGTGTAAATGGCCTTAGATGCTAAAGCACCGCTTTAAAATAAAATTATTTTACTACTACTCTATTTTCTTCTTATTAACTTATTTATTCATTTACTTATTGATTGCTTATTGGAATTTATTTAAATGAAAATTTCCCCTAGTCCGTTTATAAATTATCCGTTCGTTGAATTGTCTTATCACGAAGCGATACTATTGACGCATCATTGAAGCGTTGCCAAATAGTGCAGTGTGCGCAAACGTTATCGGTAAAAAGTGTGCGCAAATGATATTCGTGAAAAGCGTGCGCAAACGTTATCGGTAAGAAAAGTGTGCGCAAACGTTATGCAGCCGGTTTATGACGTCATCCGCGGTGGTAGTGACGCCCTCGGTTTCTTCCATTTTGTTTTCATTCGAGATTCACGTTGATTTACCAATGCAAATGTGCGTCACACTGACTGATGAAAGGAAGGAGGAAGACACCAAGGGTGTCGATGCTGTGGTGGATGACGTCAAATACCCTAGCTTTCAAAGCAAGATATCTTGGTTAATATTCAACGTGGGAAGTTGCTGTTTAGACAGATCGTATTATTATTAGCTGATCTACAAGAATCAAGCATTGGGTCGTAATAATTGTATAGTAATAAATTAAATTGTAATGTCAAATTTGACTGGCTAAGCTTATAGGCATAATTAGTGACTAAAAAAATCGAGCTACAAGCCAAAATAAATAATACATGTCTAGTACTTTGAACTACACGTAGATGAGGAACTACTTACACACGCGCAACAAACTATACTATATTATAATTATTTATTTTGGCTTGTCGCTCGATTTTTTTAATCAATAATTATGGCTATAATAAATTACTCTGGGTAACTTGAATCCAGTGTTTGGCTGCCTTTTTTGGCCGTGAAAGTTCTATGACCTAACCTCAAAATTGCCCACACGGCCGTACTCTTCCTATAGAGGTACTCTAAGAAAAGCTACTTGCCATTGTAAAAAATGTATTTCTTCAGAATCGATAAGAGCTCCTCAGTCATACGGGTACCAATCCAATCCATCGCCGATGAAGCGAGGCCAGGCTCAATGAGGTGTATTAGGTCGAAATTACCCCCCGTTCCCTGGCGATTCGGCGATAAGCGACTAGGAGAATATCCGCTCAAAGAGGAAAATCGTTTAATTCGTCGAGCGACGAGCGTAGCAAAAACACTGAAGTCCTGCAAGGAACGAGATGTCATCCGTCGTTCTGCCGTGATAGCGAAGAGAGCAGTACGTGCAAAAATGAAGTTTTGAGAAATCGGGCTCAGAAGCTTCTAACCAGAAAATTTTATGGAAAGGAACCTTCGTTCTTTCTCAAATTATCATCAACCGTCCGAAAGACTCCTAGAAATCGTTTAAATGATTAAAAATTGACAGATTTTATTTCGATTACAGTCACGGCAATGTTAGCGCCTGCAAGATTACGCGAATACCTCACGCATTGCGCGTACTCCACGGTGCGCGCTGTTGGTGCCTGCAAGACTGCATCGATACTTCACGCATTGCTCGTACGCCACTGCGCTGCTGAGATAGCGAAAACTGGCTGGTCTGAGAGGAGATTTTTATATTGAAAAAGCCTCCGTTCTTCGTCAAATTGCCACTAATCGTCCGGAAGACTCCTAGAAATCGTTTGGACGATTAAAAATCGACCAATTTAATTTCAGTTGCATATGAAGGGTACTTTCCATTTTTATGCCAGGCAAAACAGCCGTAAATGCTATCTTCTGCATGCTTCTGTGGTTGCGTTTTGGACACAAAACAAACACATTTTCAGGTTAGAAATTGGCAGGAGAGGACGGCACTTAACTTGAAAGCACTGTTTCCATCTGCTTTTCAGAAGAATTTATGTCACTTACTGCTGTTTTGCCTGAAACAACGTCATTTTTTGCGCACTTGTACCTCTCTTATATGCCTAATTACATGGAAATAGGATGAATTTTGCTGTTTTAGCTATTCAAGTGATTTCATCTGAAAGAGATTTGACTAATTTTGAAGGAAAGTCGATTTCGAAAATTTGACACTTACTAAACTGCTCTCTTGGCTATCACGGCAGCGCTCTAGGAGGAAAATCGTTTAATTTGTCGTGCGACGACCGTGGCAAAGACACTGAAGCCCGGCAAGGAACGAGAGGTCATCCGTCGCTATCCCACCGCAAGTAATGAGTGCAAGCTAGCCATTAGCGGGTCCCCGCAAATTCATCGTCCGGCCTTCCGATGCTCGGCTAATTAATTTTTCCTAGTCGCCATTTTCTCCCCGACCACGATGTGTGGGGCTACGCGGTTTGCAGGATATTCCGAGCTTGACCTATCTATTCCGGAAGAAAATTTGTGATGGGAATGATGCACATGCACACACGGAAGCGAACGTGCATCGTGGAAAAAGCTGCGGTTACAGGGAGTAAACTTTTGATCATCAAATTTTTCGGTCATCACATTGGGGGAAAAAAAAAACACGTTGGATCTAGAGTTCAGACTCTTAAAAACATCGACAAGAAAAAATACTCTTGATTCAATCAGATTTAAGCTTAAATCAAGAACCAAGCATCTTAATTTGAGCGGATTTCCTTTTGATTTAAGCTTAAATCTGATTGAATCAAGAGTCCTTTTTCTTATCAATGTTTTCAAGAGTCTGGACTCTAGATCCACTGTGTTTTTTTTTTCTATTGCACTAAAAATAAGTTTGGTTCGAGTAACAGTACTGTAAAATCAACTACTTAACATGGGAATAAGGGGTCGTTCAAGTATTTTGTTACGCATTTAGGAGGGAGGGGGGGGGGTTTAGCGAGCGTTACGGTGCTTTACATATGAACATTCAAGAGTTGCCAAATTTCCCTTGATAAAACATGTATTTTTGACAACATTCATGTTTACTATTCTTTGAAATTTTCAGATATGTTAGATTAAAGTGTGCACTAAGTTATCGGAAAATTTTAGAAAATAATACTTACAATTTTCCCAGTAATTTTGGTTTTTATCGGAGGAAACTTGGCAACGTCTATAGGCTCATACGGCGTTCTTCCTTAGCACGGCAGTTTAGAGGGACTCTAGAGGGCAGGTCCCAGACCTCGGATTCGATAGTCAGAACTCCGCTCACCCAGAGAAACCTACTTAAAAAAATTGGATACGACCATCATAAGTGAACGGGACTATTTGACCTTTGAAAATTTTATGAAATATGTGACGGAAATGACACGAATCGTTTCATTGATAAGAGCATTAAATTTTAATCCCTGACAGTCTGATATAAAAGCTCGCGTTAAATTTGACAACAGTGGCGTGACGTGAATTGCGATACATCGATTGTTATGCCATTTAAACCTATGATGCATAATCGATTATGAAGGTGTTCACTGCGAACACCCTGTTTATCGATCCTTTTTCATAAAGATAAATGGCTAAACAATCGATATATCGCAAAGCACGCCACTCCACTTTTCGACAATCACGAGCGCACCGAGTGCACTGCCACGAGTATATTTCCACTTATCAGAAATGCGGAACCGACTCAGGTCGCGTCGTATCAGGTGATACTTCTAGCTCTTAAAAAAGTTTAGAGGTACTCCGTAAATGAGTGTGTAGTCTAATTTTTTACACCTTTTTTGTGAACGTTTGTCGAGCTGCTCCGCCTGTCACAAGACAATGCGTCACGGTGATTAATGATGAGAAT